CAAACTTTACTATGGTATATCTTTTAAAAGGCAAGTATGAAGTGTTTGATGCAGTAAAACAATATTTTGCAGAAGTAGAGGCTAAATGGAACTTAAAAATTCACAAGATCCGATGTGACAATGGTGGAGAATATATTTCGAAGCATCTCCAAGATTTGTGTAAAACAAAGGGTATAGTGTTAGACTACACTGTTCCTTATTCGCCACAGCTAAATGGCAAAGCTGAGAGGATGAACCGAACTCTTTTAGAAAAAACAAGAGCACTGCTGTTTGATTCAGAATCAAGTAAAGAGCTATGGGGAGAAGCTATGAGAACAGCCGCATACATTGTAAACAGAAGTCCTTGTGAGTCAGTTGACACTACACCATGTGAAAAATGGTATGGCCAAAAACCAGATCTATCAAGGTTAAGAATTTTCGGCAGCAAAGTTTATGCTCGTATAACCAGGCCTAACTTAGGAAAGTTGGATATCAGAAATGAATCATTTATTTTTGTGGGATATGGTCTGAATGCGTATAGGATATGGGATGAACGCTCTAGGAAAATAAAAGTCTCAAGAGATGTGAAATTCGTTGAGTACAAAAGCAAGCATGTTGGCAAAGAACAGGAGAAAACAACAATTATTGAAGACGATGACAGTCACGATGAGAATGACCAGGAAGGAGACAAAAATGAAAATGACAAGAAAGAAGACAAAAATGAAAATGACCAGAAAGAAGACGAAAATGAAAATGAAGATATTGAGAGTGCAGATAATCTAAGTGAGATAAGTAATAATGAAGTAGAGTTTGAGTTGGTTTCAGACAAAAATGAAATCAATGAAGAACAGCCAAGTTCAAGTAATACTGATACTACACAAAGCATCAAACTAAGAAGAAAAACTAAACTACCTGAAAGATATAAAGATTTTGTGATGTTGACATATGAAGAAGCAATCAAAGGACCAGATAAAAAGAATTGGCTACAAGCAATTGAGGATGAGAAAAACTCCCTAATTGAGAATGAAACGTGGGAAGTGGTTGACAAGAAGCAAGCACTAAACAAGAAGATCCTAAGTAACAAGTGGGTATTAACAAGAAAGGATAACGGAAAATACAAAGCGAGACTAGTTGTAAGAGGTTTTGCCCAAGAACAAGGTATAGACTATGATGAAACCTACAGCCCAGTTGTAAGTAATTCAACTTTACGTTTGTTATTTTCATTAGCTGCCAAACAAAATCTCAAACTAATGCAATTTGATGTTAAAACTGCTTTTCTCTATGGAAATTTAGATGAAGAAATTTATATGTGTGTACCTGAAGGGTTTGATCATAAAGATAAAGTTTTAAAATTAAGAAAGACTTTATATGGACTTAAACAAGCTCCATTTAAATGGAACCAGTTGTTTACAAACTGCTTACTAAAATATGGCTTAAAACAAACTCAGTCTGACCGTTGTGTTTTTACAAATGGCAGTATTCATCTTGCTATATTTGTTGATGATGGAATTCTTGCTGGTTCAGATGAAAGAGAGATGAAGAAACTTTTGAACGAGCTGTCTAGAGATTTTAAAATAAAAACAGACGAAAACCCATCAAACTTTCTTGGAATGGAAATTTTATATTCAAGGGAAGGGATATTGTTAACACAAAAGAACTATTCAAACAGTATTCTCGAAAAATATGGAATGATAGATTGTAAACCTGTAGACACTCCCATTTGTCCAGTGAAAACGAGCAAACCTGATGAAGAAGTAAGCTGCCTGACAAAAGATTATCCTTACAGAGAAGTTGTAGGAAGTTTGCTGTACTTATCCAATAAAACCAGACCTGATCTTACACTTGCTGTGGGATTAGAAAGTAGATGTGTTGAGAATCCAATCAATGAAGATGTTGTAAATGTCAAACGAACCTTAAGATATATTAAAGGTACTCAAGACGCAGGAATATTATTTTCAGCATCAGGAGAAAATTGCCTAAATGTATATTGTGACGCAGACTATGCAAATTGCAAGCATACAAGAAGAAGTACTACTGGATTTGTCATAATGTATGGAGAAGACCCAATAAGCTGGTGTACAAGAAGACAACCGATTGTAGCTTTGTCCAGCACTGAAGCAGAATACATTGCAGCGGCGGAATGTGTCAAAGAAGTGTTATATTTAAAAACTTTCTTGCAAGAGTTGAGTGGAACTAATGTTGAAACAAACCTAAACATGGACAATCAAAGTGCTATTAAGCTTTGTAAAAATGGAATTTTTAACAAGCGAAGCAAACACATTGATGTTCGCTACCATTTTTTGACTGAAAATGTAAGGCAAGGTAAAATAAACATTTCTTTTGTTTCTACATCTGAGAATGTTGCGGATATGTTTACAAAACCCTTGAACAATGTTAAGTTTCATCAATTTAGCAAAGCTTTGATCAACTATCCAAAATCTTGAACAGAAGACGATAATCAAGATATTTATTTTTTGTTTCTTACATAAAATTAAAATTAAGGGAAGGTGTTGAATGTAATTTTATTTTTATATAATATGTTTGCTGTTACTTGTTCTGTATTTAATTTAATTTATGTTGGTAACAGCTGACCATGTGTAAATAGTTAGGATTGTTTTTATAGTAATGAGAATTGTTGAATAAGTTTTGTTTGAGTAAAAATGTTGTGTGTGTGTACTTCAGTAAAATAAAAGATAATTATTGTAACAGTAAAACCTTAGGTGTTAGTAATTTACTTTCACTTAAGTCAACACAAAGTACAGTACAAAGGGAAAAACATCAGTTGTAACTAATGCGCGAAAATTAAGCTGAAGATTAATCGTTATAGGTGAAAATAGGCCCGATTAATTACTGATTATTTTACTTGGCTCTCACCTACTAAAACACAATACTTGTAGCACTGAGGCATTTTTTGGCAAACTGGTTTAACAGTGAAAAAATCAATATTTAATAATATTAGGCTGCACTTTACTTTACGACCTACACTCATTCGAATGAATATATCGATCAATATATCGATTATTTCATTCGATATATCGAGTTTGGTTAGTTAGGTAAAACCTAACCCAACTAACCGAATAAAATAATCAATATTAATCTACATATCGATATTTTCATTTGAAAACAAAAAATAGTTTGTACATAAAACGTGAGTTTCCTTTATATTGCTTTTAAAATGGAAATAAACTACACCGGGCCATGTCTCAGTCCCCAGGTACACCCCCAGGTCCCCAGCTTACTAACGATTGAAAGTAGTTCAAGCAAATCTAGTACTAATAATGGAATGTAGCAAATTCTATAATAGATTTTAATTTTGACAAATATGAACTTGTTCGTGCGAATGTTATTCCAAAATGTTCCAAACTTCAAACATAAAAATTGTTTTATTCGTTATGTCTAGTATCCTAGATTTTCAAAGAAAACCCGATACACTTCGTATGTTTTAACTTTTTATCTGGACCACGAAGTAACATAGGATTGAGATTATGACGATACCTAGTGGCTTGTGAACATTAGATAGAGCGTGTATAATGCATAAAACGACGATGTTATTGAAGAGATCTTGCCTTTGATCGCTGGTATTTAGCTAATGTGCTGAGGTTACTTGCTGTGCAAAGGAAAACAGAATCCCTCAACCTGTAATGAGAAGAACGGTAGTTTGGCTGAGCCCAAAAATGGGAATTATACAGGTTTCACTTTATTTGTTCTAAATAATCTTAAACGACAAAATAGGCAATGATTGTAGAGTTACAAGCTCAAACATTTACCATTAGTATCAAACATTTTGTATACAAGAATAATTTTCTAGAAAAATAGTTTTAAATGCTCAAGTTTCCTGTGACTCTGACGTTACTCGTACGAAGGTCCTGCGGATAAACAGCCAACAACCGCAGATTTTTCAATTTTTTTCTTTTATAGATTTCATATACTAACTCATTGTTTTGAACTTCAAAAATGGTAGTATAATGCATAAAACAACAGTGAATGCATAGTAATTAATTTATTGCCATCCAACTATTATTTTCCTCAAGTAAGGTCACAAGATGTATTATATAGTCTATTACATATTATTACAAATGCTTTACACTTTATTTTACATAGTTTTTAATTTTTTTAGAAAAGGTTTTAAAAACCTTATTTTTAATATATGGAAGCCTTCACAAAATATGAGTAGCTAAAAAATCCAGTATGAACCTTGAACTTAAAGCATTTTCTTCCAAACTATTTAAAGGAGAAAACGGATTGATTTATTTAAATTTTACCAAGGCAACTCAGTAAATGCATGCAAATTATCGAGTTGAGAGTTGAGAAGGGTGAATACCCGAGACATGTGGTGCCATCTGCAGTCAGCTGCCGATGCTTCCCCTTCCACAATAATCAGGACTCACTTACCAACATCCTCACATGTTGGGTGCATTTTCTTTACAATTGGCAGGGACTTTCCCTATGTAGATTTAAATTGAACACATGTTTCCAAAATGCACTCCCTTTAAGAATAGCTAAATCTAAAAAAAAAACTTAAAAAGTTCAAGGATATTCTGAGTGAAATTTTGGAGGAGTTAATTTATGTCAATTTACTATTTATAAGCAATTTTATCATGTGTGGTTTCAGCCTCCTGCTGACCAGTCTATATATACTCGATCCTTGGCCTTATTATGACGGTTTTATCGTGTTCCAGGATGAAGCAGTGTCGTCCCCAGGTCAGCCCTCTCCCCCCACTACTCGTCCCTCGCCAGCTCATCCCTTAAGACTATCTCCTGCTCACAGCCCCTCGCGCCTTTCTCTCCAGTCTACCAGTCTGTATATACACGATCCCTGGCCTTATTATGATGGTTTTATCGTGTTCCAGGATGAAGCAGTGTCGTCCCCAGGTCAGCCCTCTCCCCCCACTACTCGTCCCTCGCCAGCTCATCCCTTAAGACTATCTCCTGCTCACAGCCCCTCGCACCTTTCTCTCCAGTCTACCAGTCTCTAGATACACGATCCTTGGCCTTATTATGATGGTTTTATCGTGTTCCAGGATGAAGCAGTGTCGTCCCCAGGCCAGCCCTCTCCCCCCCCTACTCGTCCCTCGCCAGCTCATCCCTTAAGACTATCTCCTGCTCACAGCCCCTCGCGCCTTTCTCTCCAGTCTACCAGTCTACAATACAGGTAAGATATCACACTACTGGATTCCATAAACTATTTACGGTATATCTATTTATAGTAGCCAAATAAATAAAAAAAAAATCACAATGGTTTGATTCAACACGTTTAAGTCTTTTCGCTTGTCGGACGTTCTCAAACTAATAGACATTTACATCGTCGTGTTACTGAGAACATGATTTAAGCCAACCACACACGTTATTAGTAGCACACGTCGTAATGCAACTACGCAAACATACTTTTCATATGACAATACAGCGTGGTAGTTCAAAATATTTTACTAGACAATTTGCACATATTTGCATACATATGCATATATACAAGGTAACCCGTAAGTAAGAAGGGTAATTCAGGAATATGTCCAATGGGTCGAAATAAAACAAAAATTAAGAACATGTTTTCCATAAATGCTTCGTTAAAAATATATCCGGCATTTATTTTTATTTTGTAATTTATAACATTTGATGCGATAATATTTCAAATTCAGATATAAAATTTAAAACCAAAAAAATGGCAGATATTATGACTAACGAAGCATTTTTTGAAAAAAACTTTGTACTTGATTTTGGTTTTATTTCGACCCAGTAAATCTATTTCTGACGTTTTTGTACTTACTTACGGGGGACCCTGTATATATACACGTACACATGTAAAAGAATCTAAAGTCATTTTTAAATGTGTTTTTTTACAAACCTTAGTGGGTGATACATTGCATTTCAATGATTCGATGATTTATTTGGCCATTCAGCAAAACAATAGGCTATATCACATTTCAATACAAAAACAAATATTTTAAACAGTATAAAATATTTTTATTACTTACAGTAGTTAATATATAGTTATAATAGTTATAGTTATAGTTAAGCTGAAATTTATCGTGGTAAACATAAAGATTTTGTTGAACTATATTTTGAAGTAATTAAACTCGTAATATAATTGTTATTCTTGCTATGCAGTACGTGGGAGAGATTTCTCTGAGGGAGACATTCTTGGTCACAAGGGGAGGGATGACAGTAAATGAAACAACGCCTTTGCTGTTGTAATGCTGAAGATATAAACATGAAGCTGTGCTACTTTGCTCTTAGTGCACATTGCATTGGTATTGCATTCGTTGTGTCAAAACTTGCACATAATTATGATATTCTTTTATCATGGTCTGTAATCTACTTTTATCGAACAATTCAAAACAAACACGTTGTTTTATTTGACGATTAACATCATTGATAACACTCCTACGATGAATAGTAAATCATACCCTGATTTTGTAAGAGTTTATCAGTGTGTAACTGTTATGTAAATACAACTATTTAACATTTTATCCAACAATATTAATTACATCAATTACATTAGTAAAAACAAATTTTTTTTGTCTTAATGCTAACTGAAAACAAAGTTTTTAACAAATTCGCTTGTGGATATATAATGTACAATGTCCAATAAATTAAAAGGTTTTATTTTAATTAGGATCGAGAAATTCAGCCTGTAATGATCTGAAGATTTTTACAAAAATAATCATACCCTTTTTACGTTAGTTTAGATTGGTTGGATTGTTTAGTTTTTTAAACCAATGTATGTATACCAAGTAATTAAGAGGGTCTAACAAGCTAAATTACAAACACTTATAAAGTTCTAGTCACTGAGGTCTTGAGCTAACGCCAATTACATTTGAGGATGGAAGGTTTAATTTCTCGTAAAATGAAAGAATAAGAAATTAATTATCAAGATGACGTTTGCCGAGCGATCGAACGTCTCGTGAAGGAAAACAATACAGTTGGTAATTAGTTTTGTCTGTTTGCTTTAAAACTTCATTTCGCCACTGCTCTGGAACTCCTGTAATTCAGAGTTGTTTATCTGAGACGTAGAATTGAAAAAATAACAATCCAATGATAGTTTGGATTCATGTTTTATTTTATAAAATACATTATTACTCTAGAGACGTATTTTTTATTTGAACCAGAAACCACTATATTTTAATAATATACTGTTTTTATATAGAATTATTTTTTATTGTTTTCCTCTAGTTATAAATCTAATTGGTTTGCTTACAATATTCCAAATGAAGTTTGGTAATTTATTGTGCAACTGTTATCCTGGATTGTGTACCTGGCTTGGGTTATTGTTTTAAGCTAAGTCTAAACTTACACACAGTTTTGTTAAATTAATTAATCCATGCGCGATTTCCATAGTGTACATAAGACAGTTAACGTGGTTTCTTTCAGATAATATATTTTTTTAAAGAACCTTGTATGTTACACTCATACTCTGAATTCAGACTTAAGCACGGATTGCCCACGTCAGGTTGTGGTATTTCTAGGCTTGACATCACTTTGTCTCCGAATGAAACTGGGCTTAATTTTCTTTCCGTGTTCCTCAACATTTTTTCTGCCTGGATTTTTGAGGAAATTACACAGTTTTCCTGTGTTGTGTCAATAGCAGATTTTCTCAAGCAAAGAAAGCCCAGAGGTAGGTCTTGCTCTATATTTAAGATGGTGACACACCATTCTCTTCCTCGATCAAGCCTCGGAACCGAGCAGGGAGAAGAGAGAAGGGAGGTAGAAGGAAGCATGTTCAATAGTGTGACAGATGGCCGTACACTCATCCAGACGGTGAACCAGACATCAGGCCGAGCAGGGATACGAGCGCTCTGGAGGCGGTTTTTTGGCGAGAGGTCAAAGAAAAGATTAGTCCAATGTACGGAGCGATGTACGATAGTGTGTCACGGTATATTTTTCCCCGTACGCCGCGCCGGTGCGAGTGCCGAACCGAGCGGCCGCCTGCTCTGGCGTTGTTAATTCTAATTGAATATGGCAATTAAACTCTTTATTGGTAAAATAAATAAATTACGGGTAATATTTTGCCGTTATATATTATGGGCATATATGTGGTAATTTTGTGGTTTATGTGGCCAAGGTTGATAATGTATTTTACATGTTCAAATTAAACTTGAATTAAGTAATTCTTAAATTCTTTTCAAATTAATATAAACATCAATATTAAAGGCAATTAAAATTATCAATCTGTAACATGTTATTTCAGGTTTTAATAGGATATTAAATACTCATAAGTAATAACTCATAATCTGTTTAACCAAAATAAACACATTATATACTTTTCTTGTAGAAAATTTAATCTTCTTCAATTTTATAATTTAGTATAGTATACAAAAAGTTGATTGTTTTCGAGATATAATCGAGAAACCCAAAATGTGTACCTTTAACCCCCCCCCCTTTCCCCCCTCCACCCCCTGGCTCACCACCTTGGAGTCAGGACTTTTGGTACGTTAACACCCTAAGCCCCCTGAACAAGTTTCTGAAGGAATCGCGTACGTTACCTGCTCACGCACTCTACACCTCATTCCTTGACTGGACTACTCGGTGGAACTCGTCTTGTTCGGGGATATGTTTGGATTTAAATTTTGCTGATATTTACCTCTCTTCTCCCTGTTCGGTTTGGTGTCTTGATCGGGGAAAAGATCGATTGTGTGTCACCACCTTTAAGTCTTCATTATTGATGTCCAATGAGAACAAGAATTTGGCGTTTGCGCAAACTAGAAATACCCACAACGTGACGTGGGCAATCACATTGTGTTGTGGGAATTTTGTATTTGCTCTATCACCAAATAACGTTTTGACTTTGGTATTTAAGTAAATCAGTTTACTAACAACAACTGGGCATTGCGCTTCGGCCAATCTCTGAATAAAATATTCACTCCGCAACTTGGGTGTTTCACACTTTCCACATCTCGAAGTGGGTAAACATTACGGAAATTGTCCGGATCTGGAGTTCCAGTGTATCATTATACAGCAGTTTTCTTTGTTAATCAGTTGGATTAAGTTTTAAACCCAAACAGTCAAACCCAAAATTGCTTTAAACAAAGTATAATGTGAGTTTTAGGTTATAAGTCTCTTCTACCTAAATCGATAAGTTTTTCCAAGGAAAACCTTCATATTAAGTTATAGACATTTTAAAGGATTTCAGTTCAGTTTCTTTAGAAAGAGGGAAGGACTTGGTATAATTCACTTAGCCAAGACACAGCAAGCAAACTGTTTAGCTGCCCAGTAGGGATCCTCCTCATCATTTATGACTCCTACACTGTCGCCTCGTCTTATCTCACTTCCCCTTGCCTTCCCCAAAACTAGATTTAGGCCTACTGTCTTGACGGATAGAAACACAGCTTATTGTTCCTTAAATTATTGTAATACATTACTTGTTATTAAAAAAACTCTTTTGTATTGAAACTAGGTTAAATGTTAGGTTAGATGTTATAGTTGTTTGGATTGATTTGAAATAAATAAAAAATAAAGTATAAGCTAGTATACAATTTAAGATATTTTAGCTCTAACATATAATATACAACAATATCCCAAATAATCAAAACTTTGAAAAGTTAAAGATTTCCTGGATATGTGATTTTAAAAAATCTACATTTCTTTACTAAGAAGGGAAGTAATCTACAATCAAACAGACAAACAGAAAGAAAGTACACTAGTCTTATGCTTAAATCATTAAATCAAATGTTGTGTTATACGATGTGTCTTGTACTGTAGACGGCAGTTTTTTGTTTTCTTACCAAGTAAAAGGGGGTTGGTAAATTAATTTTTCCGAGTTAACGTTTGCCGAGCGATCAGCGACGTTCTATGAAGTAAAACAATAGAGTTGGTAATTAGTTTGTCTGTTTGCTTTAAAACTTCATTTTGCTTCTGCTGCTATAAGTTTAACACTTTTCTTTCCCCATCTTCAACACAGCCATTGTTGTTATATACAACCGGGTTTATGGCGAATTTATCAAAACTCTAAAGATTTTACCCTTTAAAATTTATTTATTACAGTTAAATATAGTAATTATACTAAACATAAGTTTGCAATAAACTTATAGTGCCATTAATGTTGTTAAGTTTAAAACGTTTAAAGTGGAACAAAGCTTAGTACAATGTAAGCTAGTTTTCTTAAAAAAAAAACAATGAATTAAAAAACTTAAAAATTAATTACTATTAATTTTAAGTCTG